GGCGGGGCAACGTTTGGCAAGTTTTTATAACACTCAGTATCTGCTTATGCGTCAAATGAATGCTTTATGCATCGAAGCGCTCTATTTGTCAAATGAACGTTTTTAAAACCTACCTAACCTACCAACACCGCGAGAGATTCGTCTTTCATACAGGCACTCTTTCGCCAAGCGTGGCCTTTAAGCCAGTAATACCCACATAGTGTAATTCCTCTTGCAAACGCAACTTTCAGTCGCTTTGCTATAAGAGGAAAATATATAGCTCTGCAGGGATCTCGCTTGTCGCTTCATGCAATGAAGTTCATTGTTCCTCTTTTTTTTTCTTACGGTACAAATTTCACATGCCAGAAGATTCACTGACCGCACGCGTGATCACCGTCATATCAATAAAAACAGAAGCGCTAAATTTATATGCGGAGCGCGAACAGTGCATGCCACGGTGCCAATGCGCTGCGCAGGGTCCCGGGGTAAACATACTGGTTTCTGTTGTATGACAGCTTTTTTTTATTATTTGAACTAAGGTCCACGACAGCGCAGGTGTGATAACCTTGAGATTCATTGCCGAGGCATGACTGAGTCGTAGAAAAGCGTTGAGTTCATTTCACGCCACGTGCAATGTTTTGCAATTACATCAGTTAAGTGGCGCAATGATCTACTTTTTCCTTCGGAGTGGCGTAATATTGTCGCCAAGTAATCCACCTCCTGTGGTCGTCTTCGGAGCCTTTTCGAAGTAGAGCAGTTCTTCACACATGCACGCAGTTTTCAGGCCGTGATCTTGACCATTATTCAAGTCATTCTAAGCGCTCAATGTTAACAATAATTGAAACAATGCTTTCAATATGCAAACTACAAAAACTTTTGCTTTTTAACGTATGCACCATGCCGTAGTGAACAGCTCCAGAAATGTTTAGCATTATTAGTTATCGTTAACGTGCACCTAATTTAAACTACACGAACCTCGGCATTTTCACCTGCATCAAAACGCCTCCTCCCGGCTAGGAGTCGATCCCGCGTCCTTCGGGTCAGCAATTGGAGTACCATAACCACCACACCACCATGGCGAGCTCTTGTGTAAAGAATATTTGATTGCAAAGTGCGGGGCATATCCGCTAGATATAATTTTCATGTGCACTTAGTAGCAAACCGGTGCACTTAAGAGCAAACGAACAGAACATTTCGTTGTTCATCTACCTTTTGATGCAGCTTTCTTACTGGGACTGATCACATTGCGAAGAAAAATAATTGAAATCAAGTACTTCTTCACTGCCTAATGGCAATGGAATTTCAGACGTTTATGCCATGTCAGCGCGGAAAACCGCTTGACGTTTGATCAAATTTGTGCTCAAGAAGACACCCGCAGTCGAGATAATTTTCTTTTTACTACGAAACACTCCGATAACAACACTGTTTTATTACCCGAATTTTCTTGGAAATCTTGAAGCTGTGTTCGATTTATATCGTATAAAACAAGGGGTTATAGCATAACCGAATAAATGCACATTAACAATATATTTTAGTGCAGTAAAGATATTTCAAGGAGTTTATATCTATACTAACATTTCGACATATTATCATTACTTTGTTAAAGTGGGCAATATAATATATAGTTCTAACTTTTGAAGGAATATGTCACGTACACAAACATGGGCACTACGCAAAAAAATTAATCAGTTCTAATATTCTAAAGAAATTTAGTCAGTTAGTGTACTATTAGGTAAAATGTTTTGTTTGAGTAACGCCTTTTTCTAAGAGCTTTGTAACTAAAATGTGGAATCATTCTATTTACACTAGGTCATTCTTATATAATATACACAGTTAAGAGGTAATAGACATTTTCATAAAACCAAAAAACAACAAAAACACCCGTTACATTTCCACAAGGGACGGCGAGTACGTGCGAAGCTTGAAGCTGTGAGCTGCTATGTGAGCGAGAGAAAAACACCCAGTGCCCTTATTTCACCAGGTGGCGCTATTCACGGTTGAAGGGCTGTCGAAAGGCTGCCGTAATTTGTTTCGCTTCACCTCTGACACAGTAAGAATTCTCTTTGTATACCTGGCAATGATAGATAGAGCAGCCAAAAAAAAAACAAAATGAAGGCTACTCTTTTTTGTTTTGTTTTTTTACGATAAATGTGCTGACGCTTGGCCTACAGGTCACTTCAAGGCCGAGTATTCAGCGTACCATTTTTCGTGTCACAGAAGTGAGGCGATCAATTATCGAAACCGCGCCGCTGTTTTGTCGGCCGTGGACACCAGTGCTGCCTTTTTGGAGTGCGCAAAAGTGCACACGTCGACGACGTTTTTCGGATCAAGAGAGCCTGTAGTTTTGAAAGCCCCCCGCTCCCTTCTCAATATTCGTTGTATACTCCTTCCGCGATGAACGCACAGTTTGGCAAGGCTTCACCGTAACTCCTATCCTCCGTCCTCTATAAGGTCATGATCGTGAGAGTGATGTTTTATAACCGAGCATCGCACAATGTTACGGCATTTGTCTTTACTGAATGCCAACTAAAGAACCCATCGATGTGGACGTGCGTGTGTTAGAACTTTAGCCGAAACTTCATGCGAATGTCATTTTTTGGAATATTGATGCGAAGTATCATGCGTGGTGTTTCACCGTTCCTAATGCTCAATTCAAAGAACTCCTGGTGAATAAAAATTCATTTAACATGTTTTGTCTTTAAGGTGTAGGTTCGCACGGAGAAAGTCTATGTCACGCTATTGTGGACAATATTGTTAGATATGATTCAAGATAACATTGCTGTATTTATTTGAGCGCATACTAAACCTTCTCAACAGTTTTGCGTGATGACAGCCCTCAATGCATTCATAATTTTATGACAGAAAACTTTTTAGATAAAAACAAGCACAAATTTGTTTTCCGTTCATGTAGCTCTCGAATACACCCATTGCGTTTGTAAAAACTATTTGACATTCTCACAAAAAATAAGTATGAGACTTATAAGGAAAGCCTTATAAAAATACCGGGTGTTGAAAGTTAAGCGTTATGGTTTTGTTAAAATTCAATTATGGTCACAACGTCAATACCAGCTTCACAAATAAATTAGCTTTTAAGGGCAAATAATGTGGGACTATAATTATCGCTGTCGGACACACAATTAACTAAAATCTTATCGTTAACCTTTAGTGGCTGCATGAACCTGACTTGTTTGTATTAAAACACTGGACGCAGTTAGGTTTCTATACGCAGCTACTTTGAAGAAATCTTTTAGCAAGTCTGCGCACTGAGATATCCCGCTGCAAAGTCATTTGTAGCTGCCGGGATTACTCATTCAATGCGGATATGATCGGCGCAGCGTCCCTCCCTGCTTGATGTGACGAGCAGTCATTGCTTGCTATTTCCAGCTGTAAGAAAAAGTCTAATCGTTTTCATGATTGTCTATGCCTTTGACCAGTTGTCTGATCAAACTGCGCAGGCCACCAACACGACACATCAGGGAGGAGCTTTGTGCCAGTGCCCGCTGTCTTGCATGCTGCGAATCTCGAATAAACTTTGGAGCAAAATATCTAGTAGTACAGGCACGCTGCCATGATTCAATATAAAGTTCAATTTTGTAGAAACATGACTGCTTCTAACTTTTCAATACAAACATGCCCGCTTTCTGCGCTCACAGAAAAGTTCATTCCCAATATTAGTTATATTCAGCGGCGGAGAGCGATGGTTGGTTTCTCATCTTGCCCCCCCCCCCTCCACACCCTCCCTGATTAAACTAATCTATCTGCAAAGGTGATTTACGTGCCTTCGAGCGCTGAATTTTTGGACACTCCCGAAGCCTCATTTTGAACATCCTGTATATTAACCCAAATGTCGTAAGGCGCAGCTATTTATTATGGGTGACTACCAAGTTAACGCGCCCTTTAATGAAGCTCAAAAACCGTAACAACCTTTTTGATAAAACGCCAAAATTTTAAGGAATTCGCATCGCTTGTTCAGGCAGACGCGTTTAAGAGAACACAGGTGATATCTATGGCGCTTTCTTGAGGTGGTAGCCCCGCCGTGGTGGTCTCGTGGCTAAGGTACTCGGCTGCTGACCCACAGGGCACGGGTTTGAATCCCGGCAGTGGCGGCTGCATTTTCGATAGAGGCAAAAATGCTGTAGGCTGGTGTGTCAGATTTGAGTGCACGTTGAAGAACCCCAGGTGGTCGAAATATCCGGAGCCCTCCACTCCGTCGTCTCTCATATTCATATGGTGGTTTTGGAACGTTAAACCACCAATATAAATCAATCAAAGTTCTTGAGTTGGTTTGTCAGCCACTCTGTAGAAATCAGTGTCGAGAACGCCGGCAATTACATGCGATGATCTCGAAAATCAAACACGGGCTCCTTTTCAGCTATTTATTGACATCGACAAGGTTAAAAGAACGATGTAGTTACATATAAACAAATTGCACTTTCTTTCTGCGCGACCACTTTTTTTTCAAATTATAACGTATACGGCAACTTTCCAAGGCAACTTTTCATTTTTTATTATTCTCCATTCAGATTTTTGCCAAAAGGCAGAATAGGTTAAACATATTTTTGCCTAATTATAGGGCAGCAAAGAGATCAAGCAGGCTTTTGCTGGAGTAAAGTAATTGCTTTCATGATGGGGCTGCTCACTGACAACAACTTCAATGACTTTTGAAGCACCAATTGAAGCACACAGACCTAAAAGGGTACATATTCGGATCCAACATCAAAACTAGAGTAAACGTGATAGCTAGGCGACATGGTATGAATGCATGTTCATTTTCGTGTTTTTGTGGCAGTACATAAATAAATTAACATGTACATCTTCATTTTTTCAACGTATTTGGAGTGCCATTATATATGTTTAAACGAATTCGTTTAAAACTAGACCGCCAGATATACGGTTGCCATTCCGCTCCTCTAGGAAGACACTATAGCGCACACAAAATGATTGAAGTCAGCAACTTGCTCACGTTGCGTTAAGTTCAATGACAGGGCAGCTTCGTAAATAAGCAAGCTTATGGGACTCACCGCGAATAACAGAATCATCGCAGACCAACTGTGGTCAGTGCCACACTGCAGGAGCGTCGCAGCAGCGCGACGTCATCACCAAAGACTTGCAGAGTCGCCTGTGTCCTAGTGAGTGTAAGCTTGGCACCGCACGCATCTTGTCACGAGCGGGCCGCGTCTGTCAGACGTCTTCGTCGTCCACTTTCGCGCGGACAGCCTAGGCTCACGCCGCTCCCGGGCGTTCACTGGCTTCAGCACAGCAACGAACCTTGGACCGTGAGGACGAAACCACAGCACGGCTACGTATCACAGCAGCGTTGGAACGGTCAACGCTGCGACCACACTAGAGACGACGACCGCGCAGCCGCGCACACAGGGCGGTAGTGACGCTGCCGAGACAACCACGTTTCTGTGCGGCGGGCAACAACAGGAGTCACACCAGATGCTGCCGCTTTCGAACGGTCCTGCGCCAATTACCGGTACTGACGTCTTGCCTTCGGGGCTTTCGAAAGCTGGGACGTTCCGGGGAAAGCACGTCTTCTTCGACATGCGCGGCACGCTCGCCCGGCCTTCTCTTCTCGCCGCGTCTTCTCTCTCGGTCGCTTTTCTTCTGCGCTCCAGACACGGCGGAACGCGAGGTCCTCAGCGGTGAGACAGAAACACACACCACCACAGACGCTGCCAAATCCTTACCCTTTCACTCTTCTCAGAAACCGTTCCGCGCACCCAGTGAGCGCACGAAATGAGCGTGCCGCGAGAGTGGGCAAGGAGAACAGCGAGATCAAGAAAGAAATATCGCTGGAAAAAGAACCAGTTCTCTAGCTCACCTTCTTCTGGCTAACTCCTCTCTCTCTCCCGATTCGTATACCACAAGAGGGGGATTTACACGGCCGACTCGGCGGTGATGATCTGTACGCCGGCATCGGAGAGGACCGTTACCGGCGGCAACGTACGAGCACTCACGCGATGTGGGCCAGCGATAGATTCCACCCAGCGCCACCTCCGAGAGTCGGATCTGTCTCGCGCTCTCAGTCCTTCCACGGCTTTACGAGCGCCGCGCGTGCTTCCGAGCAGCCGGGACGGGTTGGGACACCGCGGGCGAGGGTGCCCGCGAGAAAGACCTCACGCTCGCCACCACCGGGCCGTCCTCCTTGCCCGCTTCTAACCGCTGCGTGTCCGCGTCACCGAATAACGGTGAAATTCGTCCGCTGCGTGTCCGAGTCGGAAGGGCCGCGGTAGTCACCCACCCTGCGCGCGCGTGCACTCTCGCTTCGTCTTCCGCTGCTGGGCTCATTCTTCCGGCCTGTTTGTTCGCCTCTGTGTCCCACGTCGTGCTTTGCTTATTAACCGATGCACGCATCTGTTCGAGGAGACCGGCAGTCGTGTACAGGTGGTTGACTCTCTGACGTGCCTATACCTTCCGCCTTATTTTTGCTCCCTGCCTGCCACCATTTTCGCAGGTCTCTCTACAACAGCCCGTAGCTCTTGGACATAAATGCCTCCATGCCTCGATGTTGCGTGGCACAGTTGGCGAGCCTTTCGGCCATCGCGAATCTACCCGTTGCGAGGCGACATTTGTGCCAGTGTAGTCGTTGAGAGACTCTCATCTTTAGTCCCTCTGTCAGCGACGCGAGTGTCGAATCGCCATGATTGTCGACTGTCGCATATTCGTCGTTCGGAGGGCATTGCCACTCGCACCGTTATGGTCTAGGTCACGCGATGGCCTACGGTGAGCGTGGGTGCAAGTCGACACGTGGCCACGGTTCATGCGGCACGATGGCATTGAAAACCCATTGTCGTTTGTTCGTCGTGGTGACCGGGCGGATCAGCATACGCAGGTAGAAACTTTCCGCATAGATGATCGTGAAACAGCCTGCATTCGTCGCATAGTGAATGCTTCGCGGTTTTCTTCCTAAATCATTTTGCCCCATACGGCAGCGCGAACCCTCTCGTCCCTGTGCCAGTCTCGATGTTTGTGGGATCTCAGTCTATCTATGACTTGAGAAACCATGAAATACATGAAAACATTAACAAACGCAACATTCCTGCACTGCCGTCAGCACTACATGTTGCGAGTTTTTCTGTGGACTTCTATGTGGACAGACTATCAACCATTGTCGCGATGAAAACTACAGATAACGGCGTAAAATGACACATTTGTTATTCATGACTATGTTCAGTGAAAAACGTTGGCGAAAAATTTCGTGTACGAATTTAATTATCCAGAATGTTGACATAAAAGTCAGGATTTAACTAATTCATCCTTGTTATTATGTAAATATTAAAGACAACAAATATTATTACATGAACTGGGAAAGAGTATGGGATATCCAAATTTTATATATTCACAGAATATGCCAGAACATTCTTTCGTGGTCATGTTTTGCTGATCTTATTCCTTCAAGAACCGTGGGGTCATAAGGTATAGTTCGCTGAAAGTGCACCTATGAACTCCAGCACAAGAGTCTTGCGGTACATTCGAAGTACAAGAGCTTACATATAAAACACCTTGACGCCGAAGCCTGAGCAGACGGCATTCAAGGCTGTGCGCTTGCTGCATGCGTAATCGAAGAAATACTGCTTTTCAGTAGTGGCACTCCTTGCCCCTGGCACTGTTGGCTCTCAACAGCTCCGTAATGGAATCTGTTAAAAACAGTGATGCACTACACATACATTATCTCATCCCTTCCCTGTTCTGATTGCTTAGTGTGAGCGGGGGAAAAATAAACAAACGTGAAATGGCAGACAGCATGTTCACAATGGTAGTCAGCGGTACAAAAAGAGAAATAATTGATATGTGGGGTTTAACGTCCCAAAACCACCATATGTCTATGAAAGATGCCGTAGGGGAGGGCTCCGAAAATTTCGCCGACCTGCCTGAATCTGGGCATACGGGCCTACAGCATTTTTGCCTCCATCAGGAATGCAGCTGCCCCAGTGGGGATTTGATCCCGCGACCTGTGGGTCAGTAGCTACGAAAAGTGAAAATCGACAGCCACAAGAGGCTTTCTTTGTAAGTTTCTGCTTCGAAATTATTCTTAGTATGGATAGAGATGGTTTTGCGTTTCGTTCATCTTTATTGTATTGTTCAAGTCCTCCGGAAACTTGGAATCAACGGGTGCCTTAACCACTAGATGCAACATTATGGTTTCTAGAAGCAAAAGTTGGGCTCATTGGTGGTTCATGCTTATATGTAGAAACAGCGCTAGTATACAAACAAAATGGAGGAAGGAAAAACAAGGCGCTGAAGTCACAAATAAAGAAGGAATACACACATATGTTCAGAAGTCCTAGTCCCATGGCCCACCTTTGCGACTGCGCAACTGAGAAGGCAGGGTACAAAGAAAAATCTAATCACAAAGAAAATCAGCACATGCGTTAACATCCAAGAAAAAGTAAATACGAAAAAGAAATAATGATAACACCTACTTGGAAAAACATGCGTAACAGTCGACAAATACTAACATTTGTTGTAACCTGACAGCGTTGACTCAAGGTATTCCAAAAATTATGGTTTCTATCTTCTGCATAAGGCTGCACACAAACAGGTAAAAACTAGAGACCGGAATTCAGGCAAGTGCCTACTTGCTTACTACGGTTTTTTCAGCGCCACTTTTATATGTGAGCGTGAACTAGAGGCAAAGGAGAGCAAAAGAAGGAAGCTTGTGCGAGTTGGTTTTTGTCTTTTTTATTTATACCTGAAAAAATAGAGAAAGGTAGACTAAGTTAGAGCCGGCTATCTCAACATCAAAACAGTAAGTAGAAGTACTTAATTGGGAACAAGGTAAGAAAATCTGTATTTATATTATATGCCATATCAGGCTTATAATACATGAACGAGCACACTATGTACAGGCATAGTCCAGTTAATATGTCGGGATCACCTAGCGGATCGAGTGCGTACACATAACGGCAAGGTAAAATATGAACTAAAGGCAGATAATTAAATTTGTGTCCTTTAATAATTCACGGAGGGTGCTCGCTGCGTGAATTTTATGGAAACGTGGCCACGGTCCGAGAATTATTCCAATCGGAAATGGTTGTCTGTCGAGTCGGTTTAAGCAATCACTCAGTACGGCACGTTGTTCTTCACATTGCGGATATCCTATAAGGATATGCTCCTCTGACGTATCGACATACTTGTAGTAGTCACAGAGCAGGGGTGTTCTTCTTTTTATGCGTCATAAGAAGGGAGGTGTGTGTGGAACAAATAATCCAAATGGTCTATCAATCTTCTGATTAGGTGAAAATGGGACATCTTGGTTGATACAGCACACACGAGACGAAGACGAAGAAAAAGAACACACACAGCTGCTGGCTCACGACAAAATTTATTTGGGAAAGAACCACTGAAGTACACGTGAAATGCAACTCAGCTTAAAATACAAAAAACAAAGGAACAGGGAAGCATCCAAACACACCGCAAGCAAGGAAAATAAAGACAGGGTTCTTTTTCTTTATCTTCGTCCCGTGTGCTCCCTGTCAACCAAGCTAAAGGAGGGCAAAGCTAAAGATTGCCTACAAACGGCTATTCTAGGAGTTTGCGTCAAAACGCACGTATATGCCTAAAATGCTTGTATAAAAGTAGGCTCTTGTATCAAATCGATTTAACCTCAAGTTCAGCTTTCTAGCTAGTGCAGCTTGAATTCATTCTTCATGGTACCGGGTAATATTGACTGCTCGGAATGGTAAAAGAGTTCAACCTACTCTTGTTGTTCAACGCAATCCCAGAAGACGAAAGCCAAGGCACCCTGTTTCTCAACGCAACCTCTTGCGAGCGCATGTGCAAGGAGATGCCGTACGTACCCAATGTGCCAGAGCCCTGGCAAACATGTTTAGAAGCTGTTGAGTTTGGCAACTGCTACTTTTGAAATATCTAGATCGAGATTGGGGATTTTGCAGTAAACAGGATGCTAAGTTACAAACGCTAAAGTAGTCCTCTCCATAGATAGCCTGCAAGGAACCTCACCTACTTGTGCGCCAACATCACATTCCTCGCGAGCATAAATTGAATGTTGGGAGGAACTGTAATAGCCAAATTTTTGCTGCCTATCCTTGTACAGCAAAGAATCACCTTCGTTGCTCAAGCAGCAGTAACAGGAAAGGCACGTGAAGTGTTACCATCGTACTGGCACAAGACCGAGATATTTTCTGTCACTAAAGGTGTTTTAAGACCATTCGCTCGTGAGCACTGTTATATCCGAGTGGCGGCTAATATTTAAAACGTTACCGTGTACAACTACACTCCACAAACATCTGTAAATCATTCCTTCACTACGCACGAGCTCATTGTGTAGTGACGACAGTTACAATTTTGAATCTGGAGATGGAACTTGTAGGTGAAAATCGGACATCTTGGTTGATACAGCGAACACGAGACGAAGACGAAGAAAAACAACACAGACAGGTGCTGACTCGCAAGATAATTTAATTGGGAAATAACCACTGATGTATAGGTGAAGTATAACTCAACAATAACTCGGCATCTGTGTGGGAATCCTCCACCTAAGACACTACTTCCACCTTCCTCGTTCAAAGAGTGGGAGTCACTCCTATCGTTGACTGATTACCGTGTTCAGGCACAAGCAGTTACCTGGGAAGAGACAAATGTCTCTTCCCAGGTAAATCCTGTCTCTTCCCAGTTACCTGGGAAGAGACAAATGTCTCTTCCCAGGTAACTGGGAA